TAAAATACCACGCCCCTCCATCGCAATGATAATGTCGTAGCCAACCAATCTAATGCCACGTCCAAAGTGAATACAACTAATAAATGCTAAAGCTATTGCTACTACTAACATACATGAATTAAAAATTGTTTTTTCATAATACTAATAAAAAAATAAAAAAATAACATCACGTCTAAAGAAGTTTCTGTGGGTAGTTTCTTGAGAAGCGGACTAAATCAGACATCAAAAAAAAAAAAAAAAAAAAGAATAACCAATACTAAAGCTACTGCTACTAATAATAATTACATTACTAAGAAGCTAATAATTCTACTACTACTAATATAAACCTGATTTAGTCCGCTTCACTACCAATCCCCGCCGAGTCCGTACCGTACCTTAGATCTTCTGCCTTCCATGACAAATGAGTAAAAGTACTGGTGAAAAATTAAATAAATAAAAATAATGATAATTATAATGATAATGAAGGATGCAATAATTAAGGATGACGTCAATAAAATAGATAAGTTGATAGATAATTAAAGCGCTAACAAACAAATATTTCAAAATAATTATAATCAATTCGAACAAATATTGAATCAATTTGTTACCAACTATCTGGATAAATTAACAAACACCAAAACCTAAAAATCCAATGATGCTTCTCCTCATCGGCTCAACTTTCTCTTTCCTTCATAATCAGCCTTTTGTTCAAATATTATCCCCCCTTTGATGGCCAAATAACGTGCGTTCGTAATAAAAATGTTGCCCTAACTTTAAAATTATTATTTATCATGACGATTAGTATAATGTTTTAACTAATTAATTATCAATTATTATTTAATAAAATATAATTGATTATTTACCTGACACTTATTAGAAATCGGCATAAACTTGAATAAAGGAAAGTAAAACGCTCAAGAAATGGGTGGTATATATGAAGATGAGTATAGGGATAGTGATAAAGCTAAACTAAAGTCAAACTAAAACTAAACTAAAACTAAACCAAAGAAGCTAAAACTTAACTATACTAAAACTATACTAAAGAAGCTAAAATCAAACCAAATTAAAACTAAACTAAAGAAGCTAAAGCGGATGGATAAATGAACGAAAAGAAGGAAGGAATGAATGAAAGCGCGAATAAAAATGGAGGTATAAATAAAGGTCGAATGAAGTCTAATGTATGCAGAAAAGAATTGGCGTGAATGAATGTGTAAATAAAGGTGTGAAAGAGAATACGAAGTAATACATAAATGACTATTACTATATAAATGACTATATAAAGGACTATATAAAGGAGCATATAAAGGAGCATATAAAGGAGTATATAAAGGAGTATATAAAAAGGACCCGTCTAATATAATATGTAAAATAAATAATAATAATAATATCAATACCGCGCAAACAAATTATTATTTTTAAGAATTAAATATTTAGAGTTACACGTACTTTTACTTTCGGAAAACTTGCACAAATCAAATCCACTATTCCCAGATAGTATAGCTCGACCTATTGTAATAATATATTAATAAATTTTTAACTTCATACATATTCAATAAATTATAAAAATTATAAACCCGCCCGCCCATATAATTGATTTATTATTGTAATAAGACTTACTGCCATGTGGAATAAAAACAAGCCAATCAATACATTAAGTGTCTGACCTATTTTGGTCAAAAGTTGAGCAACGCCTCACAACAATACCTCAGGGAGAAGCGGCTGTTTGCAGTACTGTTCGAGACAAAAGCGCATCAGGACGGAGGGATGAAAAAAAAGAACTAATCGAAGGAAGAGTTGAGCCGGAAATGAACGCACGAACAACCTCGTTGGCAGTAAAGCTCTTTTACTTTCACTTGTCCTTTTACGAATAAATATTAAAAGAAAAAAATAATAATAATGTTTAAATAAATTAAAATGAGAAGAATAAAAACTTATTTTGATGATTTTATTACATATTCCCAGAATGGGTAGGTAATCTTATATTATTATTATTAAAATAAAATACTGAAGTTACAATAAATAATATAACCATAAATATAATATAATAATAATAACAATAATATAATGGAAGGAAGGTCTTTGCCGTCGTCGAAAGATAAAATGGATGTTGATAAAATGGATAATGTCGCTGGAAAAGGAAATTCTTGCTGTTTACTTTTTGAGAGAGAGAAAACCCAAGTGTTATTTATATATTTTATTTTCAATTGTTATTGTTATGATCTGTCACGTGTACGTACATCTTTCTCGTGTCTCTCGTGTCTCAAAAAATAAAAAACAAGAGATTTTTCATTTTTTATACATGATATAAATTTTGACTCTCACTGTGTGATTGGCTGATTGGAGAGAATCTTTCCAAATTTCGTAATTTGCAGGTCAGCCGCGGTAATAACCTATATTAATATAGTTTTCTAGGGTCCTGTTTATACGCGTTGCTATTATTGTACAAGATTTAATTAATTAGACTCGTGGAATGCACAAGTTTGTGGAATATGATTAGTAATAATTGCAACAAGAAGAAAGATCATGAGAAGATAAAACTTAAAGTCGTTAACACTATCATATAGTTGATCCTCTTGCAGGATTAACTTTGTAATTGGTGATCACAGAATTTATTTATTATACTATATATATATATATATATCAATTAATCTATGCAAAATAATCCAGGGTATATTACCCATAATTATTTTATACCAGGGTGCATATCATCACTAGTTTCTCAAAATGATTGTTTTTTGGAGAAATTAAAGGGCCGCAAGACCAATAAAAAGACTGTCCACGTATGCAAAAACTCTGACTTACAAGGATTTTTGTTCGAAATTTTTATAAAATTTTGGAACTAATCTTTAATTTTTCTGTCTTTTGATCATAATATTCATCATGGTCAGATCCTTCCAATCCTGGCAATATCAACATTTGTAATGTAATAATCTGTATTGTCAAAAAAATCACACTCACACTTTACACTTGATCTAAGAATATTTGGAAATATATTTGTGTAATTTCACGAAGGTATTTTAATGAAATATTTATCGATGTTGTTTGTAATGATATGCTAATAATTATAAAATTATCTCTTAAATTCATCATCATTTATAATCGCATAAGAGAAAAGCTTGGATAATTAGGTTCATCATCAAAATTTCTAACTCTCTATCACTAAGTTATTTAAAAGCTCTCTAGTTTTTGGCCATTATATTGGATTAAAATTATTCATGGAATTGAGTAAAGGAGAGCTTGTTAATTTCTTCTATCATTGATGATGCGAAATTAATTATGTCAATTATGAATCCATTTTCATCATTTTCTTGAAAATAAGAGCTATTAGTGCCTAGATATATATATATTAAATTCTGATAATTCTGGTTAGTAAAAGTTATTAACATATTGAAGATAACCTTCTTGTCAAAATCTAGGCATTCTTCCTTTATCTTACTATAAATTATTTAACCATAGGTTTAAATATGGCTTCTCAGCTAATTACAATCAGTTGCAACTAATTGCGGCATATGAAAATTGAATTGTGGTTCCCATCTTTAGATAATATCGATATCGAAGAAATTAATAATCTTCAATTGCTAAATGCCACAATTATGATGTTAACGATTTTATAATGTTCTCCACCGATGTTTTATTTTCATAGTAATATTTAGTACCAGGAGAAGGTAATGATGGAACTAATATCACAATAGTATGACAGACATAATATAATATTTTATATTTACAATATTTTTTATTTTAACCTCAAAATCGTAAATTATTTAAAAAGTCCAATACACATTTAATAAATTCAAAAACTCTTTGGAGCAAAAAAAAGAAACAACTTTAATTATAAAATTTGAGCATTATCCGCACCCAGTGTTGAAATTTCAATACACGAATCTGCGCGTGTGACATTATCATCCAATCAAATATTGGATTTCAAGATGATGATTCGAATCTGATCCTAATCTGAACACAAAATCATGTAAATTTATCCCGTTAATCCGAAGAGAATGGCACCACAAATGCCTTTGGCTTAACAGGTTGACTATGTAATGGTTTATTTATTTTAATCAATTATTGTTGAACAAAGTCATCCAAACTTCAAATTATAAACGTATCTTTGATAATCTATCTGATGATTTTTTTTTATTACAATCAATCAGGAATAAGATTATAAAATAATGATGCCAGTTTTAAATAATCTTTAGAACTGTAGAATTCAAAATTTGGTTTTCTGTACAATAATAAAAACTATAACATAGCTTATAATCGACGAAAACATTTAAGAGTGGTGACAAAGAATATATTTTTTATATGTTTAAATAACGTGATCCCGCAAATGATATATGAATGTCCCATATTAATATATTCGAATTTGTGAAATCCGAATCGACAAGAATTCAGTAATAGTAAGATTCGATCAAATTTAATGTGACAATTATTTAAAATAAGAAATGAATTAAATTATTTACGCAATATTAATATTAATATTTAGTTTTTTAAAACAAAAATAAAAGCAACAATTAATTCTTTTTCATCATCATATTTTCCTTTGAAATTCATTTCGAAATAAATTTTGCCAATAAAAATTTTTAGATATCAAATGTCAGATAACAAACAGTTCAAACTCTGGCTCTTCAAATGATAGAAAAAACAAAAGCTCGTTCATCTTCATTCATTCCCTACTGGGTTTAAATATAAGGTTGCATTAAAAAATGACAAAGGATGCAGTAAAGACGGCAGAACCGCATTAATAATAATAATCCTTTTCAAATTTGAATATTAATCACAAAATTCGAATATTTTTCTAAATTCAAATTTATCAGTATTAAAATTTTAAATGAATACAATCACTAATCCCAACTCGGATTTTAGAATGGATTGCTTGCTGAAATTTTTTGTCAAAGGTTTGGAATCAATTTGTATTACAAAAATGGCCATGTTTCTGGAGTCATAATTTCTATGAAATATCTTAATAATAATGTTTATATAGAAAAATTACATGATAATGATACATTGGGTTGGAAAAATCAAAGTTACATCATAGCAGGTTCATGGTCGGTGCTCGAATAAGGTTGATGATCTGTATAAGATTGTGGAGATTGTGGAGGTAGTGGAGGTAGTGGTCTTGAATATGGATTTTGTTTCGCATTATATTGATCATACTGAGAATTTGGATAAGATTGTGGGGGTGGAGATTGATAATTATTATATTGATTACCATATTGAGAATTTGGATAAGATTGTGGAGGTGGAAATTGATAATTATTATATCGATCACCATATTGAGAACTTGTATAAGGTGGAGGTGAGGATTGTTGATCATTATAATGAGGAACAGGTGGCTGATTGAAAGGTTGTTGATATGGATGAACAGGTGACTGATTGTTAATTGCTGCCATATTTCCGGGTCCATTGATGTTACCTCCTTCACCTACAGATTGATCTCCCATGTAGAATGCAAAAATTGAAATGAATGAGAATAGGAGAGGTAAAATTACAAGGATAAATCCACTAGTCCCAATCGTTGTAGTTCCAAAAACGTCGGCGTCGTTTTTAATTTTTAAATAATTGTCAATTTGTCCTCCCATTGCTAACAAAATGACAAAAGAATTGAATAATGCGAAGATCCATGACATTTTTTTATGTATAACATAATTACGGGTATACATTCCAATGCAAAACAGCATTAATGATGTTACTACACCTAAAAATATATATATTCAAACAATAGACAATAATTTAATTTATTATATACAATATTTTTCACATTTTAATTAATAAGTAAGCACATTACCAACAGCATGCATAGATAACAAAAACTTTGTACCGACATTTCTATTGTCATTAGAACTATCAGGACCAATACTAGTGCATCCAGATGTAACAATACTACCAGAAAACTTCGCACAAGTGCCATATATTCCAAATATAATTTTCCCACGTAATGAAGGACCTTTCATTTCAACGCTCGCAATAAAAATTGACTTGATAATTGGCGTCCCCAAGTTCACTAAAAGAAGACACAGGAATGATAAACTAGCCGCAGCAGTATTTGCAACACGAGCGTTAATTATTTTCATCATTTATAAGGGATAGCGTTTTAATAAGAGTTTAAGGTATTTTTTTTGGTGATGATAAAATTATTTTTTTTCAAAGACCAAAAGACCAGCGGAAATCCTTTTTTTTTATTTCTTGTTAATTTTCTTCATTTAAATATATGCAACGAATATTTTTTGTATACAAATTTGATGTCAACATTACGCAAAAAAATTCTATATGGAGTTTGATTCTTTTTTATTTTTTAGCAGTCAACTAACCAAATTTAAAAATTCAAGCAGGTCTTTGAAGCGTGTAACATCAAACCAGGGACAATAAAAAAATGCGCACATTTTGTTGATCTCACCAAAAAAATTTTTTAGTGATAAAATTATTTATTCCTTTCTTTTTTATTTATACAATGTTCATATGCATTTTCAAAATTAAAATCTTGAATATCTAGACCATTTAGTAAAATCACTAAATGACTATTCAATGTATTTCAACATGTGCATTGGGAAAAGGTATAAGTAGTGAGCGTTACTTTAACAATAATTGTTTAAATTTGGATAATTGAAATAAAAATTTTCATCTGTGTTTCTACAATTGAATAAAATGCATTTCTATATTTTTATGGGGATACAAATAGAATTTTAGGGCCTTTTTCAACAATTCACAAAAATTCATCATTCACCAATTTAGTATCTCCATAAAATTTCTAAAAACTCTATCCCACTCTGACCATATAGATTTAAATCATTTTCAGTATCAGGAAGTTCATTTGGATCAAAAATTCTAAACAAAGAAAATAGTTCAGAGTCAGGAAATTCATGGCTTTTATCATTGCTAATGAGTAATCTTTAACAAATGAAGGTGCTGAAAGATAATTTTCTTCTAAATAATTTTTTGAATATCACGCCATGATTTGGTAGAACTTCTCCATCACCTATAAATTCTTCTATTATCTCTTTAATTTCAGCATCAATGTTTGGTTTATATTGTGATAAAGATAGATTATCTAATTGAAATATTTTTATTAATCTTTTCAAAATATTTGTTAAATAAGCAAGAAACATTGTTGCAGAAATGAAATCTTGATCCAATTGCACAAGCAAAACATTTGCAATACTCATCACCTTCTAACTTATCATCATTTAAAGGAGCAAGTATTGAATTCATGATTTGATGTAAATTATGTACAAAATTTGATAATGACTACTATCAAGTGTCACATAAATTCAATACTTTAAGTGTTGGTTCATCATTAATTTCCTGCATCAATCTTAATATTTGCCCTATAAAATGCAAATTAAGCAACAATAAGTCATTTTTCTATATAATATAAATGTGCATTCGCAACTTACCAGTCAATGCTTATTTTTCCTTCTTGAAAAAAAGGATCTATGATAGGTGTGACATATTTATGCACATGTGTATCTTCAATTTTTTCTTCATTGATAAAGGTAGTTTGAAATTGATTTATTCTATGCAACATCCAATGTTCATATTAGGGAAAAAAACACTTGTGTAAAAAAAAATTTCTCATATATGAGATAAATAATGAATATTACAAATTTTCATAAACTCCAATAATTGATTCATCTAGTTCATCTTTACAAGTGTATTGTCAAAGGAATGTCTTGACTTCTTTTTTTAATTTTAAATGATTTCGTTGTTTACAAGTGATCTATGAAAATACAATAATTATTACAAACTAATAAAAAAAAAAAGATAAAATTATATAATATTTACTTTAGATATATTAGTCCAAATTTCATAGATAGAATCATTTAATTTTACAAATGGATATTCAATACGAATTTGATAATTAATTTTCACCCAACTGTCTGCATCAGGGTTGGCAAATGTGCTGTCCATTGATGGTCTATTGGTGGTCCATTGTGTCCATTAGTGTAACACTTTAACCATATTTAGTATTCTATTAATGGCAATGGACCAGTCCAAAATCCATCTGTTCTCAATGGACCAGTCAATTTGCCAACCCTGGTCTGCATTAAGATATTCTTTTAAACCAGCATTATTTTCTTCTTCAATGAGAAATATGTGACTTAATGCATTGCAAATGAAAACAATTAATTCAAAGTATATTATAAACCAAATTAATCAAGTAAAATGTAGAATATACTATGTACAGTTCTTCATGTACTGAAAGAACTTGGCATTGCGATTTTTCTATTGAATTATTGCAAAATAATTCACTGATAGATGAAATATCCAAGTCATCAACCATCCACTGTTTAGAAAAAATGAAAACAATTAAAAAATAGCAGAATTTTATATAAAAATATGTTCTCTAAATATTTACCCGAATAGAATCTCTGTTTAGATCAAGCTCTATTTTCCCCAGCCCAACAAGATAATCAAATTTCTTTAACTTATTAACTATTGTTTCGTCATCATCAGAACTAGTATGTGGTTGATATGATGAACGAGAAGAATTTAATGAATCTGGAGAAATTTGTTCAGTAGGCTATGAGAAGCATAAATTATGATAGGAGAAATGTTAATGTAGTCAGCCTTTACAACTTGTAGCTAAAATATTTGTGGGACATACTTCAGGAGTCTCATAACCATCTCAAGATAAATTCTACAGATTTAAAAGAACAATTAGTGAAGATCAAAAAAAAAAGGAAAAGATTTACTATACATATCATATTCACTTTATTCTCAATATTGACATCAACATCTCTTTCTGGAACCTGTGATTATAAAGTAATTAAATTCGTATATTAATCAGCTGAGAATGTTAAGTGCATCAAAGAGGTAAAGTTAACTTGTCTCTTTACCTTTTGGTTGTCACCTAACAATCTACGTATTTTTCTCCTTATCACACCCAGATGTTTGTTTAATTCATTATCACGTTCATGTAAATAGCTCCACTTGTAGTAATTTATTAACATAGAAATAAGTTAACCAGAATAAGTGTGAGTCATTCAAGCATATAGGCATTTGTATAATTGTAATTGCAATCTAGAAAACAATGGTAAAAGGGACTTACATCTAAAGATTCCATCTTCATAATGTTTGTTGTTCTTTCTTGCCATGCTTCCCAAAACTGAGAGATCTCAACTTGTTCTTTCTTAAAAGAGAAAATGGTTAGTATCATGAATTGTAGTCAATTTTTTTAAAAAAAAGTAACAACATGACTCACAGTCTACCACTGTGGTATAAGCACTAGTGCATGGTGATGGGCATTCATATGTTACACAATCATCAATATACAGTGTATTGCCTTGACAAAAAACTGAATTATTGATGCTGCCACGCCTTTGAAACAGCATATGACTTTCTTCAACATGGTGATATTGAAATAGATTACAATGAATATAAAGTTCTTAAATCATTAAAAAGAAGTATTAAGAATTAAAAACTAAACACAAACTAGAATTGATTCATTTTTTAAATAAATAATTTTCACATTTTGTTATTATCATATTTTAAATCATTATATTTATTATTTATTATGCTTGTGTTATTTTATCAATATTTTAATTTTTTTGTAATTTTTTTTAATGATCTTTTCTTATGGTAAAAAGATTTGTTGCAATGAATTTTAGTATACATTCGTGATAAGGTTAGACTGTATTTGTTTTGTTCACTTTGTCTGGTTTTGTTACAGAATGTCCCAAGTAATCTTTTCTTTGTCTAAATATGTTTGCAAAGATTTGGTATCTGCTAATTTAAAAATGTAAGGAGCAATTTTTTCACCTTGTTCTTTCTTCAAAATACTTCTGATAGTACTATAATTCTTGGGTTCCATAGTAGATCTGATGTAAATGAGTTTCATATTAACTATTTTTATACAGGGGTCAGTTCTATATCAACCAAAATATAAATGGGTCATTATAAAACTGTTAATTATAATTGCATTAAAGATGACTAAACTTTAGTCCCTGAAATTTTTGGTAATACCAATGTTCACTTTGTCTGGTTTTGTTGCATGCCCCATATAAGGAATATTATTAACAATGTATTTTCCCGCAATTGCTAAATATTTATTATTATCAATACTGTTGGTTTCATCAATCATTATACTCCAATAGATTGAGGAGTTCAATTCTCCAAAAAGTGATTTTTTTATTACAGAAGCTATACTATCACAAAAATCAGAAGCAGATTTAGGAGTAGATGTTTTTTCTAAAGCAGCAGGTTTCAGAGTAAAAGTTTTTTCATATTTATTAATTTATTATTATTTTCAAATTGTAATGTCATTAATTTACATAGATCGGGATAAATATGAGAAGAAAGATTTTGATTAGATAAAAAATAATCATTTCTCATTAATGAAATAATTGCTAATCGATTTTATTTATTTCATTTTGAAGTTGTGATTCTGATGTTTCATGTTCATTGGTTTTTAAATGTCTTTTAATTCCTTCTAGACTTAAATCTGTTGTGCCTTGTGCAAATTTTGTACTTTCATTTCTATTTCTACAGAATTTACAAAAAAAGACTGTATCTTCATTTTCTTCATCTTTTGCTAACCATATATAATCATGAAACCAATTTTTGTTAATTAAGGGTAAAGTGTAGGTAACACGAAATTTACTATGATACAGTAGATAATTTTTGACTGCGAATCATTAAAAATTATTATTATATACAGTAATATATAGAAAAAATCATTTTTATTTTATTTGTAAAAGAATGACGATAATTAATATTAAATATTTAATACAACATTGCCCTTTTCTTCTATGACATCCTTTAGCAAACAAAAAAAAAAAATAAAGCAACAGTTCATTCTCTCTATAACGAACACTAAGTAAAATCTCTATAATGAACTTCCCTTTTAATTAATTTCTCTCTCTATAACAAACATCTTAGTAAACACACCTTATAATGAGCTGTATATTTTCTCATGTTCCTTATTTATAAATAAATTATGATGTTAGTTAATTATATTACAAAATAATGTATTAATTATATTAATTATATTACAAAATAATGTATTAATTATATTAATTATTTCAAAAATACCAAGTAAAATTACAGGAGGCTCCTGCGTTTTTGTTTAAAGTAAAAGGAAATTTGATAGAACTTCCACGAAGAATAGGTATATAGAACAAATAGTGTATGTAGAGTAGGTGGAGATATATTGCTATCTTGTTATTGACTTCTACTACCATCCCTCAAC